GGAAACGAACCGTTCTGCGGGCGACGTTACGATGCGTGCGATCGGCGCCGCGCTGCCGGCTGCCGTCCCGCACCCTCGCTCACTGCATTCGAAGAGGCCAAGAAATCAATTGGCGGCAGGGAGGGTCGGGGACGCCTAACACCCTGCACCCTCTTGCCAAGGCCGCTTCGCCCTGGCCTCAACAGCTGTCGCTGACTCAGCGCGAGCGGATCGGTGCGCCGGCACACGTGTGAACCAAAGGCCAACACTTAATGTATTCGCCGAAACCTAAAACCTGTTAGCCAATGAGCCAAAACTCTGGTGGATAGACAAAGACATTCGCCAAGGCAGCTAAACATTGCAGTTGATGTTGAGTTGGACAGGATGCTGCATGACGTGTGCCTAGTCTAATTATCTAACAGCCTTTAGGGTGGATCTTGAATTGTAAGCTGGTGAGGATTTGCGCAGTGTTGTTCCAGCATTCCGCGACGTTACTGACTGTTTGAGCACGGTGAAGTTTGCTCCGGCACCGTCCCCTGGGCATCGAACAGGGCAGGCTGCAGGATCGCACGGCAGGGATTCCTGGGCCGTGTCGTCACCGAGCCCCTCTGACGACACTAGTCACCAGTCAAAACTTGGCTCGGCGCAGTTCCGACACGGCAACACTCTCGCGGCCCTCGACGTCGCTCTGCCGCTAGGCACACGAAAAAATAGAATAGTCTGCGAAGGTAAAGTAAAAGCCGAATACGCGCTGCCTGACCAAAGAAAAAAAGGATAACTGTTATTTTTAGGAGGGCAAATAAACTTGCCCGAGGTTAGCATTTGCCTACGAAACTTTACTTCCACAAGATGACTGAATGACCGAATAGAGAGTCAACTTGGTGAAAAACATGGTCTCTGTCGCCTGATGTTTTTCGTTGACTCCCGTGGCCGCTTTGCGGAAGCGACACTCATTTCACATCAGGCTGCACGGTTCTTGAGATCGGAAAGTCCCTAAAGTGCTGCTGCAAAACGATGTCCGTGGCAAGACACAGACGTGGGGACAGCCTGGCCACGATTTGTCAACAGCCTACAAAAATAAGATTGTTTACCTTTTGACCTTGTTTTTACCTCCCTTACATTGCATACGGGCCGCCTCTCAGACCGCCTCTTTGAGCAGTGTACTTCTCTGCTATTATTTAGCGAAACAAAAACACTCATTTGGGGCCGAGCGACACGGCGTGACACGGCGTCACGTGTGCGGCACACATGCGGGTGACCTCAGCACAAACGGCGAAGGACGCAAAGAGAGGCAGAAAAACGGAAGCGGTGCAGGGCGAGAGACGGAAGAAGTCAGCCAAAACAGACTTGGTGGAATCTAACCGGCATTTGGACGCTACGTCTCGATCGAAACCATGTGGGAGGTCCCATGAGTGCGAGAGAGACAGGGCGACAGAGCGCTGTTCGGATCCAGCCTGCCGATAACGATGCGAAAGGGTGTGCGCGTGCTCTAGCCCCACGACGACGGTGATGTGGCTGTGAGTCTTGACGCAAGAGTTGGAGTGTTTGCGTGCCGTAGGGCCTAGGGCCTGCCTAGGGTCTGCCTAGGGCCGACACGGTAATGCCTCACAGCTCGCCACGCGACCCAGCCGACCCACTGTGAACTCGGTCAACCGTGACGCCGCTAAATCACGACTAGGACCATCGTCGGGGGGCGTTTCAAGGTGTAGCGGTGGAGGGTGTCGGCGGAGGTGTAGTCGTGGAAGGGGGAGGGGTGGGGGAATCACTGAGGGAAGATCTCCCCCAAGGGCACAGGCGGTCAGCAACAGACTGACCCAGGGCATGGCAAAGACGGGATCACCACGTAGGTGGATTACCTTGAAAGAAGAGATAAGTCGCAGATGCTCAGAGATAAGTGACTTATTTCGGGAACTGAGCTTTTCTTAGGAAAGTCCGAGTGCTACGCCGTACCGACGGGCCCAGTCGGGCACGACGGTGGCAGCAACTGTCTCTTCGGCCGTAAGGGATCTTTCGGAATAATCGGCGAAGTACGTGAAGGCACGGGAGAGGCCCACACCGAGTGGGCTCGACGTTCCTGGCGGAACACGGCTTCGAACCTTGTTTCATATTTATGAGGGATAAAGTTAAAGTTAACCTCGCCAAACGTTTAATCACGCTAGGGCCCATAATTAATGGTGGAGTGGCCGAGGAGGGTGTAGGAAGGGAAGTCCCACCCACCGGGGTCGTGGTGGACGGCGGTCCGCGCGGCGAGCTAGAATCAGCGAATCTATGAAAGGCCTTCGTTAAACGGCCACTGGAACCCCCAGCCTCGGAAACGGTCAAAAGCTGGCGGATTAAGCTAGCTTGTGCTCGGCACAGCCCATCCACTGTCCAAAAGTATGCGCGAGTAAATAAAAAACGCAAAACAAAGGGAGAGCCGTCTACTTTTTCTTTTCTGCCTTGTTTCTTCTTAATTAAATGTAGGAGCCTTGTTTTGCAGTGACTTGTGTACATAATTGCCACATCCTGCAGCCTCACTGAGGCCCTCGCATCGCCGCGAGCGCCTTGCCTTCCCCGAGCCGGAACCTCTCCCGCGTAATAATGTGGTCCCCTTGAGGCCACCGGGCCGCCAGGCACCGCCGCCAAGGGTCGCCGCCCAGTGCGGGGCGTGCGGGGCCGGAGCCCCCCGGCGAGCGAAGCCGCAAGCCCCGCACGTACCTCGCGCACAGCGCCGCGGGGTAGCGCCGCAGGGTAGCGCCGTGGGGTAGCGCCGCGGCCAGCGGCCCCTGCCGGCGAGGCGGCACACTATGAAGCGCAGCCGGGGCGTCGCGGCGCCGAGACGGCCGCCAGCGCAGCCAGCGCAGCCCGGCGGTGGCCGTGCAAACTACCACCAGCTCGCTCCCCGGTCAGCTGTTGGGAAGGGTGGCCCTTGCTGCCGTTGCCAGTGTAAGTGGGGCGACTCGGCCTGAGACGCCTGTAACTCTATGAGGCTTCTCTCTAGCGGGCCGGCGGATGTGAACCGCCTTGCGTTTCAAGCTGCCCTGCAAAAAGTCACCCGATCTTTATTCGCAGCGCGTGGAATCAGATTAGCGGTTTAACGGCTGACGACTTTGGCGCGGGCTGAATCACCGCGCCATCCACTCCACGCAACGACCTGGCACATCCACACTGCAGAGGGTGCTTTCAGCGCCCCGCGGTGTTGGCCGCCAAGCCTGCTGGAGATTGAAGCACGCCGTTCCGCGCACTCCGTCCCACGTGATCGAGTTCACAGCATTACGGACACGACATGGCTTCAGGCCGGAAGAAAAATCGAACGCACGATTTTTAACACAAACACTTTCCTAGCACGCGACCGGTGTTTTAACTCTGAAGGGCAACTTAATATCGTCCTCGTAAAAGAGCAAGCAATTTCGGCGCTGGGTTTTCGCTCTTCTAGTACCCTTACAACAGGAGGAGAGGGGGAGGGGTGAATGGTCCCGGAAGCGAATAAAGGGATAAAATGAAAGAAACTGAGCGCCGCAGCGAGGAATTCCTTCGAAAGCAATATCATGTCTCTAGCTGGGCAGGGCTCCACGGCCCCGACCGATACTTGATATTGAAAACGTCTGTGACAAACCGCTGGGAAGGAGGCGAGTGGCTCCACGCGGAAGGGGGACACACGTTTACACGAGATTGAGAACCACCCAGAACGCCACTTGGATGCGAAAACCTTTTCCTTCAAACCCGAAAGGGCCTGGACAATATTAAAACTGGGTGATAGTTTTAAGTCACGTCTTTCATTGAACACGAACCAAAACAGAACAGATTTGTCAAAAACTTTAACGAAAATTTGTCAACTCGTCTGCCGCACTTTAATTGTTAATGCGCTTATAAATTGGCGGTGCTGCTGTTTTTTCCTTCTTCAGCAGTGACTCATGGAAATAAACTGACCGATTAATTAAGAGCACTCCTGCAGCGTCGCTTTAGAAAAAGAGCTGGCTGCTTTACTGCCGCGGCGAGCATTGTGTCGTGGTATACCGCACGGTTTATGGCCCCTCCAAGAGGTGCTTCGCGGGCTTGGCGGCCGACGACCCCCGGCGGGAAGACCTCCCGAACGGCCCGGCTTGACTCAAGTTCTTATCAACTCTCTCAACTTTTTCGGCAACTTTGACCGCAAATTAATCAAACGGGGTGCCCTGCAACGCACCCAAGCCGCAAAGGCTGCCCCGGGGGCACCGTCAAAACCAGGCTTCCGTCCGGAGCTTTGGAAGGTGGACGCCGGCCCGCTCGTTTGCCAGCGGCCTGCAAACGCGCCGTCCAAACGGCAGTCCATCGATTTCACGTCGATTCAGTGTCGTTTTACCAGCCGAATGCGGCAGCCTTAGCAATGCCGCGCGCAAATGGCTCCGCTCAGTTTCTCTCTCTTTTCCTCGTTCCCGAGCCTCCGCCGCGGCACCAACCCCTTTCCCTCCACAGTTCCAAAGTTTGAACAGATCTGTAAACTCACGGACCACGGAACAGAAAATATCAGTTCATTCAATGCATCCGGGTTTATCATAACACTAAAAATCATATTAGTTGCCGCCACTGAGAATTGTTGACTTGCTTCCACGCATGAAATGATCACCTGAAAAAAGACGGAACTTAGAGGAAAAGCCAGGAGCTTCTGCGTCACACCTTCCCGGTCTGCCTCCTTTCTGTCCGTTCGTCCGCCAGTGTGTCTGCCCGCGCCGCCTTTCGCGCGAGTCGAGAGTGCTTGGGCAGCGAGCCGGAGGGGCGACTGCCCCTTTTAGTCGCGCTGCCGCCCCTCGAGAGTTCTTTGTCACAGCCAGCCCACATCCGCCACAAAGCGCCGTCTCAAAAAATCACTTCCCGCCGTCCATGAGAATGGTAATCTGGAGGCCAAGGCAGCCCTGGAAATATGAGCGAGATGCTTTTTGCGTCGTCTCTCTTATCAGCTCGTGCGGTAGGGGTGAACCAGCCCCGAAAGTTTTTGCAGCTTGGCCGCTCGCAAGGCCTCTTTACTGCCGCAAAGTTCAACTTTTTTTTTCGTCTCTACCCACCGGACACCTTCGGAGCCGACGATGACGGTCCAGCCGCGGCGTCGCCGGTCCGCCCGCATCCTGGAGCGCACTCGGGCCACCTGCTCGAGGTGCTCCGCGATGGGCTCCAGGAGGGGGTCCTCGTCGCAGAAGCTCTCTCCCAGCGACAAGAGGGAGGACATGGCGAGGCCCTGCTCACTGCCGCATCCTCCAAAAAACCGCCTTCCTTGTGGCACTTTCACTGCAGGGGTCTTCTGGGCGTCACTCTTTGCACTTGCTGCTCTTTACACACTGTACGTAGAACGAAACGCTGAATCACTCGCGAAAAACTGGATAGCACAAAACACGCTGATGATGCGGTCTCGGAGAGGCGAGCGCCTGGGAGGTAGGCAAATCGGCGGCAGGCATGCGCGCCGCTGGAGCATCGTTGCCTAACTCCCAGGCGCTTCGCGGGCTAACCCTGTATCCCGGCCAAGACTTTCCACCCCACTTGGCATATTTTATGAAAGGCACACAGTAACTACGGCCAGAATAAACGAGAACAGAACGAGCACACCCCACTTCCCGGCTTGTTTACAGAGTCGAACACAAACGGCGTTTTAATCCGCCGGAGCGCCGCTGCGCCGTTTACCGCACAGAGATTCCGGTGTAGGGCCCGTAGGGGGGTGGGGGACAACAACCCTGCCGGAAAGGAAAATACAGCAGCCGAGTTTTGAACCCGGGACCGCGTCGACGCCATGGCGGCACCGTGGCGGCGCGCACCGTGTGTTTGTGGTTATGTAAAACGCGGCGGCTGACTGGCGGCGAGGATGTAACAGCGTTTCCCACCGAAATAACACATCGAAATAACACATTGAAAGGACGCCACTCCAGGGGGGACCCCACCCCGCACGCGGAACGCCAAAACTAGCTGACCGGGCGAGAAAAAGGAAATACAATATGAGTCGTTTAAGTTAAGTTCCCGGGTAAATTTGTTTTGGCCGAGAGTCAACAACGCCCCCAGGCTGGCTTAGCCGCACACAGACCTAAATTTCGTGGCAAAGGCACTGATTCAGCGGCCAGAGGGAGCGCGTGATAGTCCCGTGTGGGGGAGTCGCGGCGTGACGTCACGCGGACCGCCAACGCGCCGCCGAGCGACATCCAGGAAGGAGTATGTTGCTGCTGAGTTATGTGGCTCGCAGCGCCGTACCGTACGGCCCGTACGGTACCGAGGGCCCGGGGGTGGAATCGCTTTCCGAAGCAAGATTCTGGTGGGCGTTCAAAGCGCGAGGTGACAGGCACGGGCCACTCCAACGAGCGCCCCACATGACACACTGTCTGACCGGTGCCCACCTGAGGCTGTAGCTTTTCTAGCGGGTCTCTGAGCGACACAAGGCTCATTCAGAAAAGGAGGCCCGTCTCTCTTTCGCTCATAGGGCACCCCAGGCAGGAGCGAGAGAGGCAGGGGTCTCCGGCTTACAGCGTGCCAGCAGTGAGACGTGACAGTTACGACTCGCTCGCGTGCGGAGCACGGAGCGCTCGAGGGTCGCGGGGTTGTGAAGGTGTGCTCGATTTGTTAGTGACTGCATGGTCTCGGGCACCGCGGCCACAGGGCAACGGTGGGCCAGAAGACCAGTGAAGGCGGTCACAACTGTAGACGCGTTTCGAGCTCCAGAGTCAATAAATAAAACTCAAACAGAACGTGTGACCCCACCAATGGATTTCTCTTTCGCAGAGCAATCCATTGGTAGGGTCACACGTTCGGTGCTAGTCCCATTTAGCGACTCTGGAGCTCGAAACGCGTCCGGGATTTAGACCGCCTCCACCGGTCTTCTGGCCCACTCGTTCGAACGTCATCGAGGCCCAGGAGTGAGCGCGCCGGGCCGAAACGCAGAAGCCCGCGCGACGCCGTTTCCCACGGAATGCAAAACCACTGAAATAGACAGATAAAAGTGGCTCGGCGTGCCACCCCGCGCCGCCCCCTCCCTCGGTGCACTCGCGGGCCTCGCTCACATTCACATTCACTGTCTGTTTTGGCCGCAACAATGCGCCGCGGCGCGGCCAGGTGTTTGCGTCCGGCTCACTTGACGCGCACAGTCGCGCAAACACGGCGAACACACGCACTGCACCGTGCCAATACCGCGCGCACCTGCCAATAGGACGCTATCGGCACGCCGCAGCGGCGCCCCCGGCGTCTCGACGGTCCGGACGGTCTCGGCGCTCTCGACGGCGACGTGTCATGCTGCCGAGGCGACCCGCGACGCGACCGCGGGAAAACACGACTACTGAGATGGCATCGCCGCCGGCCCCGTGACGCGGCGTGGCGCGGCGTGGCGCGGCGTGGCGTGGCCGCCGTGTCCCCCGCGTGTCGCCACAAACTAAATTTAAGCCGCGTACACCCCCTAGCGGCGCCGTATCCACCTTCCCCGCCTTCCCACTTCGATATCCCCACCAGCCGCGTGCCTCGCGGCGCCCGCGGCCCGATGCACCCAGGGAAGAATTCACGCGCACGCGTCATCCTGCACATTTCGCCCCGACTCATCGAACGGCTGTGTTTGCTCTCTCTCTCTCTCTCTCTCTCTCTCTCGCTCCCTCCTGCAGACACTGCTCACCCGCTCGGAACAAAAACAGGCGGTCATTGTTTCCTGCGAATACTCTGTAAATATGTCGCTCAAACCTCCCCGACGGCGGTGGTGGTCCCCTTTCCTCCCCGCTCTATTGTATGTACTTTTTGTCTTTCGGCTTCGGGATCTCCTCCTACGCACACGAACGCGGAGGCGGGGCAAGGAGAGAGAGAGACAGAGAGAGAGAGAGAGAGAGAGAAAGAAAGAGAGAGAGAGAGAGAGAGAAGAGAGAGAGAGAGAGTCGCCGCTCCTTGACCTGACATGTGACCTGTTGCCCGTGTGTGCCGAGCTGCCTCGCGCGCTGCCGTCTACCTGTCACCAGCGGGCAGAGGCGGCGGGCCGTGCTTCCACGAGGAAGAAGACCACATAAGAAGGAAGCCCTCCGAAAAAGACGAAACAATAAAGTGAAAATGTGATTGTGGTGGCCCCGGGGCGGCCTGATAGGCCATACCGTCGACCAATCAGAGGCTCGGCCGGCCCCGGGCCCTACCAGCTGTTGGCCGCCCCGAGGGCGTTACTCCTCGCTCGCGCCGCGTTCCGCTAAAAATACCGCCGAAAACAAGACGAAAAGTTATTCGGAATTGCTACGCGGCGCAGTGAGAGTCGCGCCGTCCTCAACGCGGAAAAATCGGCCGCATATTTCAGGCGATATGACGGGCGTCGCATCTCACGGATAACGAGCTGCTGCATCAATCCGGAATCCCAAAAATGAAGAAGGCGGCCGTGATCGACGACAGCGGCAACGAGTCCTCGGGGGCGAAATGACCGCCTCGGGGGGAAGAGGACGAGGCGGGAGGCTGGAGGCTTTTTGCCGAGCACTACTGGCACTACTCCACCATGTTATGGACTTTTCACCATAGTATAGACTTTTCTCCATAATATAGAAAATCTTCACTAGACAACTTGTAGAGTTCAGAGGCCCCTGGCCTACAGCAACACACCGGAAACCTAAATTTTGAAAAAAAATGTTTGTGAATTTTGAGTAAGTTTCTTTTTGTCATCGCTTTTTGTGAGCCTCTGGGGCGCTAGCCTCGAGACGTGACACACCGAATCAGGCCGTCGTGTTTGCTTGCGGAATATAGTCCTATAACGTAAACTCGTTGCGCATGAACAGAATACACGAGGCAGGGAGAGAGAGAGAGAGAGAGAGAGAGAGAGAGAGAGAGAGAGAGAGAGAGAGAGAGAGAGAGAGAGAGAGGGAGAGAGAGAGAGACATGAAGGGGCGCCAAGAGAGTCTAGTGATCAAGCGGAAACCAATCCGAGGGATGTGCAGAGAGCAGTGTGGAGTAGCAGCACTGCTAAGGGAAGAAACAAAAAGGAAAGGAAAGAATGTAAACAAGAAGGAGGAAAAACGGGGCCAGACAGATCAGCGCGGCACCAGATGGAGGCGGGTGGGGACGGGGCGGCAGGCGACAACCCTTTGGCATTTATTCATAAACACGGCAGAGGCCCCAGGGGGCAGGGGAATTTCAGAGTGGCATCTGCGACGTGACGGCGCGAAAGATACCCCAAATCGCAGCAGACGCGAGTGCCGTGAGTCACCATGCCAACGGACCCAGCGGAGTCCCGGCGGAGACGCTTGGCAGCGTAGGGGACCCTTTCGCGCCAAAACGTGCACCCAGTTTAGCGTGTGCCAATTTCCCGCCAGTCAATCAGGAAGGGCAATGAGAGGTATTCACTCTTTTCGCCGCCCACCGCCCCGACCTTCTTTACTCTCGCCACCGCCCAACCCCTTTTTACAGTGCGGGTACACAAAAGGCTGTTATGATGTCCGCGGGCGCAAAAATAAATAAACGAAATTCAAAACGGCCAACGCCGTAAACAAAAAGCAGAGACAAAAGCAGAGCGACCAAAATGGTGCATTTCTGCCCGGCCCTTTTTTATTTCGGCAGATGACACATTAACGCCGCATTCTGCCCCGCGTCTACTTTTTACTTCATTTTGAAAGGGGCGGAGAGGCAACCTCGTCGCGCGTCGACTCGCATCCCTCTCCCTCAGAGCAGCGTCCCGCGAATGAAAACAGAGACTCGTCACGAATTGGCAGCACCGGCAGATGCACTACGAATGCCCGGGGAATCTCGCACCAATCTCGCACGAGGCGCGACTAATTCTCGCGAAAATTTGAGTGCGAGTCGCCGGCGCGAATGCGCGAATGCAGGCAGCATCCGATTGTCTCGAGGTTCTTTGTCTGTCTGGGCCACGGCCCTCCTGCCTCGCCCTGCCCTGCCCGGTCCTGCCACGCCCTGCCAAGGAAGAGCACAGGGTGCTCTTCGCATTGCGAGGGTCACCGCCGCCAAAAAATCGATCTTTTTTTCCTGCTCTCTCTCTCTCTCTCTCTCTCTCTCTCTCCCTCCTCTCTCTCTCTCTCTCTCTCTTTGTGGTGACACAAACAGAAGAGTTTCTTTGAAAGCGATGCGCTCGCGCCCGCCCGCCCGGAAGCCTTCGCGGCGGGGAAAGGGCGCCGGCGGTGCAGATAGCGGAAATGCCCGGAAAACGAGGAGGCAAAAAATGCCGGAAAACGGAGAGAGCAGGTAGAATTATTCCCACCTTCCTTCCTCGCAGTGCAACGTGCAACGTCGTGGTGCAATTTGCAGGGCAGCGATTCCGAGCAGTGCTCCTGTCCCTCTCGCACCCACCCCATGAGAGGGACAGAGAGAGAGAGAGAGAGAGAGAGAGAGAGAGAGAGAGAGAGAGAGAGAGAGACGGCAGGGAGAGGCAACGCAATCTCCGCGCGATTTAGGCAGCCATTCCGTGCGGCTAGGCCGAGGCGGGGCTGGCGGGGCTTGGCAGGGCCGGGCCGGCGGGGCCACCACAAAGCCTGCAGCGGGTCAACCTCTGCACTGCAAAGTGCCCCGGGCGCCGGAGGGATATATCTTGCGAGCGGGACGCCGATGGCAGCGAATGGGGTGCGGGGATGGCGGCGGAGGAACGGACAAGAAAGTCGCGGGTTCGATACCCACCCGGCGCGGCCCATCTTTTTTATTTCCAATTTTATTTGTCTTCGTGGTTTGGATTTTTGTTTTAGTTTCCTAAGGCGGTTAGCTCGACTCACCGAAGAGGGGCGATTCAGGGACATCGCAAAGTTTCGCGAATTCTCCTCACTGTTAAACTTTGAACAACAACGGAGACGTCCTTTCCCCTGCCCCCTCGCTCTCTCTTTTTTAGAGCGACGTGTGACCCTACCGTCGACTTTCCAAGAAGCGAGCAAGGCGTGGACAGACTGAAAAAACAAACCGACGACGGAGGAGGCGTCGGACGGGAATTCTGTGTCGCTAGGGCAGGAGAAAAAAAACAGGACATTACCACGTACTCCACGCACGATCTGAGCCAGACGGGCGAAAAGTTGGGCTGGGAAAGGAAGAGGCACGACCAAGCAGCAGACTGATTCCGAGAGTCGTCGCTCTGTCTCTCTCACACTCATGGGGCGTTCCGTAAGGGTGCGAGAGAGACAGAGCGACGAAAGCGAGTCTTGGTCTGTAGACGCATGGCGCACAATCACAGAGCATTCCTCGGCGTGTGGCAGTGGCGCAGCACTGGAGGGAAATGGGAGGGGAAGGAAGGGTCCTGCAGTCGTCCTCGTCGCTCTGTCTCTCTTGCACCTACACGGAGCGCCCCGTGAGTGCGAGAGAGACAGAGCGACGACTGCCGGAATGGACGGAGAGGGGGCGGGGCAAAAAGGGGGTGGCCCGCCATTAATTGCATGGGCGATCGTCAACAATTAACCCGGCCCTTTTCCGCACTACAAAAAAGTCGGACCTGCAGTGACGCCATCCGGATTTGCATTCGAAATTCCCGCTTAAAACAGAGAGGGGGTGGGGGAAGGACGAATCGCCCTTTGCATTTTGCATGGCGCCGCAACTCAATTTTCTGCCAGGACGGAAACAAACCGGGTTGGGCATGCAGTGCTCTCCCACGGTGCTGCTGACGCCACCAAAAACGCTTTAGCTTCGATGTCAGGTGGCGGCCCTGGAAGGACCCGCCCCTGTCGGGGGGAGGGGGAGTAGATTTGGCGAGCGGGCTCAGATGAGATGCAGGGGAGGGGAGGGGACGACCCGGCGGCGTCCCACCCGCAGGGACGACAGTCTCAACTGATTTAAATTTATGTGGCGCGGGTGAGGGCAGCAGGGCTCAACCAGAAGAAGGGCTGTGTCTTTCTGTCTGTACCTGCGCTGGCTGCGCTGCCTGCGACGCAATGTGGATTGACGGCGGCAATTCAGCAGACTGATTCCGAGCGCTCTGTCTCTCTCGCACTCATGGGGCGTCCCGTGTGGCTGCGAGAGAGACAGAGCGACGGCGCTCAGTCTGCAAGCTGTTGACTTTGCGGAATCTAATATTCCCACTCGAATGGTGAACGTGGCGGTCCGACTGCGCCGCGCTCAGACGCGCCTCGTTCGATCGCGTGCGACTGAAAGGGCAACCCACGTGTGGTGGCGGAAGTTTGAGTGCCAATCAAGCAAAGATTGCCAACAAGAATCGAGTTCTGCACAACTGCCGCGGGCAGACCGAACTGGTCAAACCGACAATACAATAGCGGAGTACAGAGCGACAACTCTGTCGGGAAAACTTTGTATGTACCCGC